CGCGACCTGTTTGATTCACAGGTACACCCGCAAAATTAGCTCGGCTCGGGCGGCCAGACAATTTCGTGGTTGAAGCTTCGCCATTGGCGTTAGCAATCTCCCCTATAATCTCTGCTATAATCTCTGATGCTAACTTGCGATCATTATTTTGTTTAATTAATTAAAAAATAATGAAGGGTCTACCAAATTTTTTAATCGTATTACAATGATGTACAAAGGTCCTACTATTGATCGAAATAAAAAAACTAATGAATTTTCAATTATGTGGTGCCAACTACCTGGCCCCCTACTTTAGTTAATCCTCCCGCTCAAAACCTGTTTTACTTACAGATACGGGTTCTCTGAGCGTAGTTCCGTAGCCGCCGCACCGAAATCCTTGCTGAAACGCATCCATGAGCCCTAGCAATCTCCCCTGTAATCTCTGTTCTTATGGGAGTGTTTTCTATCGATCTGATGCAAAACATTAAATTTTCAATTCTAAGTATGATGTTTCTCTTTAGAAACATCAAATTTGGAATATGTGATGTTCAAAACTTCGGCAATGCCCGTGGTCAATTTAGAGGGATTATCAGTAACCTAAAAACTGGAGTTCATGTGAATAAAAAGTATAATACCGGTGCAGAATTGCCGGTTTCAGAGGATTGTATTAAAAATTATATTAGAGCTATGACCAAAGCTTATGTTGAGAAACTGAACAATGAGGAGTTTAAACATCTATTGCAGGTCAGGGAAGTCGTGAATATGTTGGAAGATCGGTTGAAAATTGAGGAGAACATTATGAATTTGAATGATCTTGGTATGTTAATTATTGGAGTAAAAATCCAAAATTTCTATATATATTTAAAGCATTTTATAGTACCTCTGTTGTCTCTAGACTAACGATTTAATAAAAAATTTTAAAGTTTTAATTACATTCCATGTACTCTTCTGACTTCATTTGGAGAATATCAAGACCAAAAGATTGCCATGAGACTCTTGTAAAGGTTGGAAAAAGACAAAAGTGCAATCAAATGGACACTTCGCATTCTTCTTCCAGTTTTTAATAATATAACTGAAGAATCCCGAAACAGTTTTCAAAAATGTGAACCAGACTAGTAAAAACAATATTATTGGAAAATTTCCTGAGTGCCCATATTGCGACATCAAATGTATAATATTGCATATTAGATACAGTTTACACTGAATCATTGGAAAATTAATTTCCAAAAAAAATTCTAGTCTCAAAATTTTCAGAGGGTCTTCTCAGTTTTGATAAAAATTCATGTTATGGCCCATATTTATAACATCTATGTGCACTGATTTTTTAAAAAACGACTGACCGTTTAACTTTTTCCACAGCAACAGAGAGCAAAGAAATGAGCAAACTCATCTCCGAGGAACAGCATATGTACAGAAGTCAGTTGACTGAACTAGATGATGAACTTTTGAAATTAATACTTACAAATGTAGGTCGTGATAATTGTAGAAGTATAGTCTTCGAAATAACAGCAGGGGTAGGAGGTTCAGAAGCGATGATCTTCACAGGTGACCTTCTTGCAATGTATCAGAGCTACTTCAGCCGTCTAGGATACTCTCAAGAACTTGTCGATATAAGCTCAGAGGGATCAATTAGTGGCATACGTCACGCAAGTGTACTCGTCTCGGGAGATCGCGTATTTGAGACTCTGAGACACGAAGGGGGTGTCCATAGAGTCCAGAGAATTCCTGCCACAGAAAAAAATGGTAGGATACATACAAGTACCGCCACAGTTGCTGTTCTCCCTGAGCTGAATGATATTGAAGTCAATATTAGGCAGAAAGATTTAAAAATCGAAACGAAGAAAGCAACTGGCGCTGGCGGCCAACACGTCAATACTACTGACTCCGCAGTGAGGATCACTCATATCCCTACTGGAATTGTAGTCGAAGCACAAACGGACCGATCGCAGATCAGGAATAGAAAAACCGCAATGTTGAAACTAAGAAAGAAAATGTATGAAGAAGAATTCAATAAGCAAAGAGTAACGACAGGGTCTCTGAGGAAGGAGCAGAGGGGGATGAGTACAAGAAATGAAAAAATAAGGACTTACAATTATAGTCAGGATCGAATCACTGACCATAGGATTAGTGGAGGTACTCTGCATAACTTGAAGGGCTTCATGGCTAATGGAGAGGGATTGGAGGAACTCCATGAAAAGCTGCAACGGCAACTACAATTGAAAATATTCCAACGAGCTATTGAACGGTGGAAGTAGGTAAAAATGAGGAATTATTGCAACCAAAGGATATAAATTGTCAAAAAATAGATTTCTTTGTGATCTTTGTCTCTCCACATCGTTATTTCCACAATTTTTGGTGACTTACAAAATTTTTAATTATTTGTCAGTCTTGGATAGAATTATTTGGATTTGTATTAAAAAAAAACAAAAAAAAATATAATTGTTGAACTATCAATTTATTTTAATACTTCACGCTGTGACGAACATGAATTTCTGACGCCAACACTTCAATCGTGACCTTTCAGAATCATTGGTTGTAAAAAATCACAGATATTATATCACCTCGAATCTCCAATTAATCGAAATTTCCCGAGTTTGCTTTCATATCGAAACGAGGTTACATCAATTTCACAATTATATTGGGAAGCTTGGGATGATGTGGACATTTTTTTATTTGTGCCAGTGTAGTATCGACCAACACTGTTAAGGCCCGGGTGGAGGGATTTTTGCCCGACATGTCCCTAGGAAATTCCCTAGAAAAAACGCGTTTTACGGGTAACGAAATGCCAGCCCCT